AAAAAAAAACGAAATTTATTTTGTGCGCGCGATTCTGCTGGAAGCCCAACGGTAGCTTAGACTCAATTGTCCTCGAAGTTTCTTTTATTGCCAACAGCTTGAAATTAATACAAATATGTGTTTTTTTTWAACTTGTTTTCATGTTTTTTGTTTTTTTTTTTATTTATTAAGATGAATCAAATGAAATTCATAACATCAAAACGGCAGTTGTCATCACAATCGTCCAAACCGATAACTCGATCATGTTAGTTTTGGTCCCTCCACTTATGGTTGTACAGTTTTTGTCAGACTTCATACTCTCTGGAAAAAAAAATTATTGTAGTGAACAAATTAGTCTTCTACCAACGAATGGAAAATTCATCTAGGTCAACCCTACTTGAAATGGCCATAAGATCAGGAACGTAGTTTTTCCAAAAAGCACATTGTTCTAGTCTTGGCCCAACGCCGATAGAAGTGTTATTTGTATCTAATGTTAGAAACTCTTTTCCATACGCCGTGTGTACGGGCCACTTGGGCGTGACCCAAGACCCTTCAAGTGTTTTGCTTGGATTTCTAAAAAAATAATAAATAATGATTTAAAGTATTTATAAGGCTTGAAACCTTGAGGGTTTTAACCATAAAAATAACTTCGAAACCATAATAATGTTTTCAACCAAGCACGGAAATGAATTTTTTTTAATTGGACGTGACAAAAATTCAATATTTGGAATAATATTTTATAGCACGTCATTGTTATTAACACACATACCTACCTACTTAATTATAATTAGTTAAGCTACAAATCGTACTAATATTTATTTATTTATATCAACTTGATAACATTATAATTTACACTTAGAAACAAGCTCATGGTTAGAGTAATGAATAATGAATCTAAATACTAGTTACCTATTCGCTTATATTTGTTTAATATATACCTATAGGTTAAGGAAGTTGAAAAGTTTGAAAACACACTTTTAAAATGTAATTAAATGTTTTTTTTTTTTTCATAGTAATTCATTATGAGTTTATATTTTAACGTGCGGTTAAATTATTTTAAATGCGTCAAAAAAATATGTAAAGCTGAAGAAGTAATAAGCTCGTATTACATACTATTATATATACTATTAATTTATTAAATATCTAATGAGTGTAATTACTATGAAATAGTTCACATACAATGGCATGGCGAATAAATACAATTTATCAAGTTGCAAATTTTTGTAATCTATTGGACCAAATGGCCTTATATTGTGTTTCTTATTCATGTGAAATTACAATGTTTAATTTTTTTTGGAGTATGTCTACTTTGCCAGAATTATTATAAAATGAGAATAATATGTTGTTCCTAACGTTATACGAATTTCATAGTTCTATTTGCCCATTATRCTGTTTACGATGAAGATTCAAAAGTAAAGAAACACTTGTGGTTTGGCTAATGAATATAATAGTGTCAAAATGTGACCGGGGTAAATTTCTCAACAACCGGGAACTTAACAG